TGTCGCGCAGCCTTTTCTGTACGTGTGAAAGTACCTGAAGCAGCGGTTGCAGTAAAGGTCGCCGTCGCAGGTGTAGCAGCGGAGCGCGGCGTCTTGGTTACAGATGCAGCACCACGGGAGTTCGTCCTCGTCACTGTCCGACGCCTGATTTGACACAGCAGTCGCCGGAATCCTGCTCTTGGCTGCTGGAGCCGAGTTCTTAAAAACACATCGACATCAAATAAATAAAAAAATAAATGCTGAGACAAGTTCGTGGTTGGTTTCGCTCTGTGACGTCTGCGGATCGGTACCAGTTTCTTGGAGTTCTTTGCTGCGTTCCTTGGTGCTTCTACGGGGATGTTGTAGCCACTGGCCTCATCCAGGGTACTTTCTTCAGACAGCTAGGAAAAAAAGAAAAGAAAAAAAGGGAAATGTTTCTAACATGTCTGACACTGTAATTACATTTAGTGATATACTGTGTTCCCTCTCTATATTGCGGTTCTCCTTTCGCTCCCTCAGTACATACAGATTTTTTTTATTCCAAACTCACGAGTTTCACTATATTGTGATATTTTGCGGCCATTTTTTATTTTTTTATTTCCAATATTTGATTTATTTTATAACCGGCATATAAATGTGTGGGAAAGGGTAATATAGTCTAGGGTTGGTAACAGTGTGGGGGAGGTTCGTGAAGGGTAAATATATATGTAAATAATATAGAGACTATCTCGACCTCTACTTTTTTTTCGGATTTTCCCTTTTCGTGGTTGGTCTTGGAACGCAACTTCCACGACAGGAGAGGGATCAGTGTAACCCAAATTCACAAATTCATTTGCATTATTTTACATTAAATTAGAATGAAGACAATCCTCCCAGGAAACATAACATGGGAAAAGGGAGAGAAATATACACACAGTCACTACTATATTGAGCTTATGTTAACGTTACCAAGTGGAGCAGAAATAACTTCAATATCAAGGATGAAACCAAATCAGATCACACACTGAGCAAGCATTTTGGCAACGGAGGGACGAATAAAACTGCCTTTTAACAGAAAAAAAAAATTACAGCAGCTCCAAAATCAGTGTTTGACCATCTGCCTCGGCACAGGACGAAAGAGGAAAACGGGGGAGACAGCAGAGAGGAGAATTAGGAGAGAGAAGAGAGGGAGGGAGGGAGAAAATGCAGTACAGCCGGTACTTGGTTGTAGGAACAACTTCAGCAGTGGTATTAGATGGAACAGCAGTTACGCTGAGTCAGGTTTTAGTAATTATAAATACCATCATTAATGATGACAGCACTAGTGCCTCGTAATACGAAAACACAATAGTCATTCTGTTAACATGCCTTAACACAGTAACAGCCACGCCCATAAATTATAATAATAATAATTTTTGACTGCACACCTGCTTCAACACTCTCCTCACAGCTTCCTCCTCCGTCTCCTCTTCACTGTCAGGATGCTGGAACTCTGCCGCGGTGACTGGAAATGACATAAGGAACAAAAATGACTTTTTTTCCAAACATCTCTCACAGACACAACGGTTTAAAATAAATCAGCAAGAAATGCAACTTCTGAAATGCAATGAAGCAGTCATTCTGTCAGGATGATCCTCTCTGCCTGTATTTCCACCTCTGGGCATTTACCAGTCCACGAAGACTGACATTTTGACATGATTATACCAGAACATTAGCCATTTCATGGATACATTTATTTCCTACCCAGCTGCTGCAGGTAAGTGAAGCAGAGGTGGCGCTACAACACACTAAAAAAAATCACACACCCTATTCATTCATTACAGAGGTTGTATTTGTCGTTCCAAGAATCTTTACGGTACATAATAAATAAAGATAAGAAAGGTTTGTTGTTCACACAAAACAAAAGTCAGTCAAAGATGTCTGCTACACACCAGAGTCAGGATCCTGTCCCTTCAACTGAGCCAACCTTCTAGCCATTTGTAAAGTCTGGTCCTGGGAATTCTGCTCCCTCCTCAGCTGCTCGATGGCCTCCTCCAGCAGGTGGTCTTTCTGAGACTCCAGCTGCTTGTCTGTGTCCAAGTTCTCCTCTACATTATCACTTCCTTTGTTAAGATCGTTCGTGTGACCCTCAACATCTGCAGGAGGAAAGACAGACATGACCACGTTTGCTCATACAGTACATATATATATACATATAAACATAGGTCAGGCATGGGCAAACTAAGGCCCGGGGGCCAGATACGGCCTGTTCAGCTTTTTTATCCGGCCCACCAAACTTTTCTAAATTATATAATTATTTATATTATTTATATAATTATTTAAATGACTTATATTACCTGCCAACTCCTCTAAGCTACAAGACAGAAACGTAGACCCTTGTGAGAAAATTTTTCTCTTGACTTTTTTCAAGGCCCTTATTTACAGTTATTGAATTTAAGACCTTTCCAGGTTTTGAAGAGGCCCAGGTTCCCTGTATTAACTGTGTCTTGATTACACTTTAACCTGAAGAAGCAGATCTTACTGCACTCTGTATTTTCATGTTGGTCGTCAATAGCAACTTCCTCTGTCATCTGACTGAGCAGATCATTGGCCTGTTCCGTCTGACTCCTGTTATCTGGAGGTCGGTGCAACTGCAACAGGAAGTAGATAAGAAAATTATTTTTTGGTTGGCAGCAAACAGAGTTTCCGTTTAAACCAAACCAAACCAAACGCACAAACACATTCAAACAAGAGGAGATGCACGAATGTAGACAAATGATTTATCTCACAGGTTTAGGGGCTTGAGATGGTGGAGAAAGACCCCGCAGAGCTGCCAAACGATCCTCCATCTCTTCTGTGGAAGGCACTGGCTGACTGGGAGTTTTCAGGGCAGCCAGGCGAGACTCCAGTTCTTTCTCGGATGGGATAGACTCTGAAGAAGAGGAGGGAAGGATTCAACACATACAAGTATTCTTACCTGTGTCGTTGACGGACAGGAGTTTTTCTAAACCAGTGGTTCTCAAACTGTGGTAGACATACCACTAGTGGCACACGAGTGCTCTCTAGTGGTACGTGGGGAAAATTCATTTTTTCACATTTACATTTTCAATTGAATAATAGGCAAGGCCTACGCTGCTATATTCTAACGTTGGTCATCATGGTGGTACTCAGAGAGATCAACGTTTTCTCAGGTGGTACAGAGGATAAAAAGTTGGAGAACCACTGTTCTAAACCATAGGAAAAAATGGTTTAATTACTTGGTGCGGTTCCATCTTTCAGCTTCTGAAGTCTAGCAGCGATGGCCTGGTCTTCTTTACTCAGACCCTTCACTGGCATCTGTCCTGCTTTGCTCTGTGTCGCCTGCCCCTGCTGTTTGGCTTCATATGCAGCAACACGTCTAGGAAACAAAGGCAGCCTTCAGATATGATGTCACTCTTGTATTGACACTGTATTAATAGAATATTTTATACTGACTTTTTGTAGTTTTCTGGTGGAGACCATTTTCCAGCACTGGTTTGAGGCTCGCCACTAAAAAAAAAAGCAAATTTGAGTTTTTAGTTCTGTGCTTTTTAAATGTGTCATTAGTATTTGTCCAAAAGCAGAGTTCAAAATTTACCTTGTCAAACTGCCATGGCACTGTTTACACACCTTCTGTTGGGCGGCGCCCCAGCGAGGGACGGTAGCAGTGAAAGTCAAACAGCTGGAGCAGAAGGAGCGACCGCAGTTCTTACAGCCCAGCTAGTTTGACATAAGGTAAAATGAGTATTACAGGAAAATTTCCAGGACATATTTTTATGCAAAAGGTGGCGTGTATCAATTTGGCGACTGACTAGTTCTAGTCTAACTTGTATAGAAATTACTTGTGTAGAAATCTCATCTCATCAACAGAGCTTCTCATCAACAGAGCTTCTACAAATCTAATACATTTGGAAGGAATGTTAGACTATAAATATTTTGTAGAAATGTATAGTACACATTGGAATATAATACAAAAATATTAAAGACATCATCATTTTCTGAATAAAAAGTATTTCTAAAAATGTTCTAATTGCAATAACTAAGACTTTCAGTAATGCGTCCTGTACCACTGTCTCCAACCAACATTTCATAGCAAAAAAACCCTTTTTTCTTACAGTGTACCATGGTCACTTCACGCCCCACGTATATGTATATATATATGTAAATAATAGATTCCCCGGGTTCATTTGACGTCACATGGGCGGTTAACTAAAAAGTAGTAAAATCCTGTTTCTGGTCTCTGTGGTTGATGTGTCTTTGCTTACCTCCTTCTTAAAAAGACTGAACTTTGATGCACAACAAAAACAACGGTTGTCCATGTTTGTCCGTAAGTGCAGTCAACAGCCCGCCATTTAAAAATACATCCGTTACGCTACAGTTTAATAGCGTTTAAAAATAAAAATCATTGATAACGAAATAAAAGCATTTATTGGCCTGTTTACTAAACGCCGATTGAAACTGTAGTCGAAACCCGGAACAATTCCCAAACATACGATGTGACGTAGAAAGACGTTTTCCGGCTTTCGTGTCATCCAATCAGGTTTCTCCAAACTGTCTGCCGGCCTTGTTCAAAACATAAACGGCAGCTCGTCTCTGTTCGTGTTGCATTTTTTTTTAGAAAACACTATAATCGTCTGGAAAAGCATTGGAGTATCGTTAAATTGGTATGGAACATGGATTTATTTCAGTTTTGTTAACAAAATCGAACAAATAATTGTTATTTCAGATAACAACGACGCGGTCAAGTTAAAAAAGTGCTGTTGTGTTAGCTTGCTTGTTTCTGTCGTTGGCTGCCCCGTGGTAATGGTAAAGAATCGTTTTGTAGAATACAGAATTAAGCCAGAGTTTTATTTGTTATCGGAATTATTACTGTAAAAGACAACCCGAATAAAATTTAAAAGGTTAAACTCCTCTCCTATGTAGTTCATATTCATCTTTGTATTAATATCTGGGTTGACTACCTGCTGTTAACGACTGATAGCTGTCATGTACGTGAAACTGTGACGTACCAATACCTAATGCAAAAGGTAAAATGTTTCATTATGACAAACATACGGTTTAATTTAGTTTTAGAGCTCGAGCTATTAACTTATGTAATGTAATTTTTTTTTTATTTGTTCTGGTCCTCATTCTGACCACTACTCTAATTGTGTTGACCAGAAAAGTTTCTTTTTTTTATTTCTTACCAAAAATATCCACCCAAACAGAGGTTCTGGGTCTGGTACTTTTCTTCCTGGATTAAAATGTTTTGTTTTGTTTTTTTCAGTTTGTAGGTTTCTACTTGTTTGATTTTCACAATGGCCGAAGGTGGAGAAGTAGAATGGGAGCTGAGCAAAGAAAACATCCAGCCACTGAGACGAGGTCGAGCAGTGTCAGCCTTAAACCAGGCTCTATCTCAACAGCAAGATGGACTGAGCGCCGTCGTCCACCAACAGCGACAGTACGTGAAGTGTATTTAGCATTTAGATTTAAGTGACAGCAGCTTTTTTAAAAATCAAATTTATGATAAATATATAATAATACCATTTATGGAGAATGTGTGGCTTTTCCCTTAGGGAGTTTGAGTCTGAGCTGCGAATGTATGATGGCGATGATCCTCTCGATGTTTGGGATCGGTGAGTAAATTATGAAAATGAGAGCGTAGCAAAATGTGTTGCTGTGTAAGAGTAGAGTTTTATCTGTGATACTCAAATGGTTCTGTCATTATCAGGTATATAAAATGGACCGAGCAAACGTTCCCTCAGGGAGGAAAGGAGAGCAACCTCGCCACGCTGTTGGAGCGAGTCGTGACAAAATTCAAAGATGAAAAGAAATATTTCGCAGACTCCCGCTTTGTTGACCTATGGATCAAATTTGTATGTATTGATTAAACCCTTTCTTTTCTTTTACTTAAAGTAAAAAAATTAAATCCTTACTTTTCATTCGTGTGTCCGCAGGCAGAGAGCTGCAGTGAGCCACTCGACGTTTATCGCTACATGCAAGCGCATGGGGTTGGAGTCAAACAGGCCTCTTTTTACATTGCTTGGTCTGAGGAGTATGAGAATCGAGGCAACAATCTCAAAGCTGACCAGGTCTTTCAGGAAGGATTAAGACAGCACGCAGAGCCACACGAGAAGCTACTGCAGTTTCACAGGTATGGCTCGGTCAAGTACACTCAGAATTAAATCAGTTAATATTCCATGAAAAGAATGTAATTTATCTCTGTATTTTCTTTAGAGCTCTGCAAGCACGAGTTTCCCGGCAGGTGATGATGAATGTTGATCAGGAGGAGAGCGATGATGATGACGACAAAGAGCAGGAGAGAATTTCTCTGGCTGACCTCAAACACCGAGGGAAAAAGAAGACAGTTGCCCCCATCATCAGAACCAAACATGCAATGAGAAGTTAGCACATGAACCTCAAACCCGACAGACTTTTTTTAACAGTGTCTCTGGACCTTTGAATGCTATTTCATACACAGAATTTAAATAATACTGATATGCTGGTGCTTTACATTGACAGATATCACTGGAGGCCTTCAATCTCACGGTGGGGCTGCTATTGGCAGCGCGTCAAACAACGTGTTGGTGGTCTTTGATGAAAACAGGACTCCCAGTGCTGGGTCATCAGAACCCAGGGTGGAGTCATGGATGGCACCTCCCACATCCAAGGCCAAGGAAAACGAGCAGAAAACGGAGAGATGGTGTGACGTCAAGGTGCGACAAATACAGACATTACTCACTTGTTAAAAAACATGCAGTACAATAATAGAAAAAATACATAATTCTTGTGTTAACCACTTCTTCTGCAGATGCCCCAGAAGTCTAAATTTGGCCATGTCGTTATGGCGCCACCTCCTCCCAAACCAACTTTTCAGCCGTTTGTGGAGGAGTCGGATCAACTTCCAACAATGTGAGTGGAATGAGTTGACCGTTACTGCCAAATATTCAGTTTGCGTTACACAGTGAAGCGGAAATGAAAAATAATTGACACACAAGTGTTGTTGACTTCTCCAGGACTCCGTGCAAGATCAACCCAGCGGTGAACACGGTTCTATCGGCACGTAAGCCGTGCAGAGAGGAAACTCCTCTGAAGAGACTCCAGGAGAGTCACCTGCAGCAGCAGCAGGCCGAGTCCACCAAGGAGCAGAGCATGTACTGCAAAGAACTGCTGCTCAGCGGCGCCTCCGAGTTCTGCTTTGAAGAACTGCGTGCCCAACGCTATTTCAAAAAGATGGTCAAAGAACGAGCTGCCGCCAGTGCTTCAAGCTGATCTTTTTGTCAACGGCTTCGTGTTCCAGATTTCAACCACATGTATGAATGTTTAGCTTCTGTGTCGCATGTTGTCCTTTTGTAAATATTTTGTTGACGGAGACACAGTTACACGAAAAGACTAAAGGGTTGATAGTTAAATAACGAAATAAAGAGTTGCTCTTTTAGTAGTTATTCCATTAAAGCAACAACATTCACAAATCTCTTCATTAATTGGTAACAGTAACAAAAAAAATTTCCAATAAAATGTTCAATGTACTTATGTTGTACAACATATTTTAGAACTTAGTTTTGACTGTATTTGTACTGTACTGTATGTGTGAGTTCTTTTGTAAATACCTAAGACTTTTTTGTTGTTTTCTATTTTATGTAGAATTTGAGTGATTTTTTTTTTTCTTCAATTGTTCACATGACCTGTGCTGCACATTGGCTTTTACCAGATTCCACATCAGACAACTGAAGGCTTTGGTGGAGGAGGTGGAATGAGCTTTACTGTATGTCACTGTCTGGGAAAAAAAAAAAAAAATTCCTTCCCTAGGCCTTGTGTCATCAATGTTCAATAAACCTGTTAAAATGTCCAGCTGATGACTTGTGGGGCTGTGAATTTTTTTCCCCTTCCAGACTTAAGGGTATTGAAATAATGCACCGTCAGCAGAAGGCAGAGAGTAAATTGTATTCCTGGTAATGGTGGTTGGATTACTAATGGGGCGAGAAAACAGTTTAGTGCTGAGTGTTATTTGTTGCTGCAGTTTCTACCGTCAGCACTGTCTGCCAGGAGTGAAAATAAACTGCATTCCAATCGTCATAAACGTCACTATCACTGCTGCTTATTTTAACGAGTCGTCTTAATTGAAGTCGAGACACTTTGGGTTTTTAGGGAGTACCAACACTTACCAGGTCCAAGTATTTTTACGAACTTAACCCAAAATCTGCTTGGATGATTGTTAATCACTGCACCAGTGGCTTGCTGACTTAAGTGTTGTGAGTAAAGCTAATGTGTTGTGATGATGGGATGGCATCCACTCACAGGCACCTCGCAGAGCAGACACTGATGAATGACAGAAGGAAAGGTGGTTGGCTCATTAGCAAGTGAAATCCGACCTTTGCAGCTGTGGGCAAAAAAAAAAAAAAACTGAACTCAGTAACTCCCCGGAGGCTGCTATTCTGATAATGTACTGAAGGGGGTGTCCAGACTTTTTCACAAGGCAAGATTTGATGATGTATAAATAACTGAGAGCCAACTGTTCTCCCTTTGTTGCTGAAGACTACAATACATTTGCATAAGGATGCGCAGTATTCGACACTACTTTGGCAAAATAAATCTTTTGTTTAATTAGCATTGCTAATTCAATTTAGGGCGCTTAGATTTGGATGGGTTTTCTGCACTATTTAAAATAAAGACAAATAGAGAACTGGAAAGTACATTAAGGAATATTCCTTTTTTGTAGAAAGAAACTACAAAAATATTCACTTTAATATTTAGTAAGCCCAGTGTAGAGGTATAGACAAAAATGTCACAAATAGTATGTTCAATTAAACATATTTAATTGACTTAGTGTGAAACCTGGGCCTATTTAGTTGAACACAACTCAGATATATACTTGCAGGAACTGAAGAAAGACACACATCTAGATCTTTTTCAACAGCTTTTACTACCTCTTTTTTTTAGTTTACAGTCTACAACCGTCTAATGCCACCTAGTGGAAGAGTGTTTAATCGTTCTGCCTTTTACTGTCACTAGACAAACAAAGAAATGTAGTAAATAAATAATGGTTTTCAGATTAAGATAAATTGTAGCCATAATAACGCCAATACAAAAGCAACGAATCCACGGCGCACAACTGAGCCACGGCTCCGACGTTTTGTATATAAATATCAACAACAATATAACACGATTACAACATTATTAAAAAGACAAAACGCACGTACTCACCGAACCTTCTGATTGGTTGTACACGAAATCAATCGTCCGCTCTTACCTTAAGGTGCGTTCAATGACTCTGTTGTAAAGATTATCCGTCAGTTTCAAGTCCTTTCTATCGTCGTCCGTGCTAACTTTGAATGTCCAGTGTGTCCTATCATATTTATCGCAAAAGTTGTGTTTTAATTTGTATTTTTAAGTTTGAATTCGTTTTAGGCAGAAACCGTCCGCCCGGAAGTAGCATTGGACACAGGGAAAACATAATTTTCGAACGTTCAAATCGCTAGTAGCAGTTAGCTCGACACAAGACCGTGTTCTTTCACCGTCCAATCAAATCATTCGAATCGCCAACGTAACTGTGCGCCAGGTAGAAGGCCTTGATATGACGGTCTAATGCCAACCCAAAATCTGATTGGTTAAAGAAACAACCCTTAGGTCTGACTACCTTTAACCTGGCAACACATGAGGCTGAAATATGATTGGCTAAAAAACAAAAAAAAACTTCGACTATAGATGTTTTGTTGTTCAGTTAGATAACCATCATTCACGTCTTTTTCGTGTTTTAGAGTTGTTCAGAAGTTATTTATGTAAATATAGAAAGAAAACAGAAAAGAAAGAAAAGAGAAAAGGAGTCGCGGATTCTTTTATTTTACTCCTTTTGGCGAGAAAATCAGAGAAAATTGTTTAAAAGATGTCCAAACAACTTTGGAATAAATGGAAGAACAGTGTTTTACTGAAGAGCACCTTTAATTAGCTGAACGTTATACCTTTGCCACATAAACCCTCTTGTATTTATTTGCCTCTTGTGGACCTGAGGCGGTACTCAGGCTGTGCCTGATGTACTGTGACTGTCTTACTGTTTAACATGGGAGGAACAGACTTTAATCTGCTGCTGGACATTTGCCAACTAAGATTTTCTCATCTTGTTTTTTTTTTTCTTCCCCCAACTGCCTACTTTAATTTTGGATTAGCACTTACAGCAGCTGGAATTCACTGATAAATGATGTGCCGCCCGATGCACTTCAGCCATAATAACACAACACAACAACATCGTAATGCATCCTGTGTAGCTCGGACTTATTAAAAGCCTGTCCCGTGAATGCAGACAGTCGGTGTCTGCATTAGAGGTTCAGACAGAAAATCCATAGATCTGTGTTATTGCTGTAAAACGACGGTAGAAGTCGGCCGCGCTTCCTGTGATGCACTGCAGACAGGCCCTCGGAGAAGAGCTTTTGTACCGAGCTGGAACGCTGATAGACAGGAACACTCAGGCTCCACGTGGGCCGTGTTTTACAGTCAGTGCTCTTAACCTATTTGCTTGGCTGGTGTTTACATGCACCACTTAACAGGAAGTCCTCCAGCCTTTACTTCACTCACAAGTTGCCACTGGAAATGTTACTTTTATGAACTCTTTGTGAAAGCAAGAGCTTATTTCTAAAATCACTAAACATTACATATACGGTACGTTAGTACGAGTTCTAGCCTAGTGTTTGTTAACCACAAAGCATGTAGTGCCGTCATTCTCCCCTGCAGAGGGTGCTATAAATGACATATTACTACCAGATCCATGAATTGAGTTTGATCTTTATCCAATTTTTGTTTTGTTTGTTTTCATTGTTGTTAATGTTATGTTTTTAATCATATCAATATTTTATCTTTTTTTTTTAATCAATTACTTGACATTTCAATCGACCCTGTTTGTATCCCAGACGACCCTACATGGGGTCACGGCCCCGAGGTTGAAAACACTGGTCTCTGTATTTGTTTAAGTTTTGTTACTGATCATTGTTTTTAATCTATCTTGGCTCATAGCCAGGATGTTTAATCGTTAGTTTATTCTGTTTACATCACAGAGCCAATAAACTGATTCAATATTTGCACCATTCACTTTCAGTACATTATACACTTACAAACAGAGGCGGGAGGTGGGGGCTAGGTTGCCTCAAACTGACCTCTTACTGTTCCACTGTCTTCCCCTCAAAAAAAAAAAAAAGATCAATTTCATAAACTGCAAATGCAGGGAAAATGCGAAAAAACTAAAACAAAAAACAAACACTTTGCAGAGTTATATTTCATTTCCAGGGACAGGTGGAATTTCATGACTCACATTACTGTAGAACAAAGATCAGCATGACTCGGTTTTATTTCTCTCTGCTCTTCTCACTCAAGGTTCAAATGGATTCACGGGTCATGTGGAAATGTCAGAGTTTTTTTTTTTTTTTTTTTACGAACTACTGCATTTGTATCAGCCGGGGCTGAGCCTTTACAGGGCTTACTGTAATCCCTCCAAAACAATGGAATGAATTGAAATGCAAATAATTAAGGCAGGTCACTTAAAGCGACCCCTGAGCTTTCTTATTAATGAAACAGTGATTTAGAACTCCTGTTGTCTTTTCACATTCTAGTTTTTCACCGACCATAGAAATAACCTCAAAGTTCTAAATAGATTGGATTCCGTTCTGTGGGACTCGTAGGTCGGACCCTCACCTTCAGCTCAAGTGACAGAGTCAAAGGCTGAGATAAAGGTTTCTCCATCTACAGAAGTAATAAGGTAACATAACTTGGCTCGGGAGGTCAGCAGCTGAGGTCAGCTTTCCTATACGTGACTGAAGTTCCTCCCGTTTGTTAGCTTGGCAGTGAGTCAGTGAGTTTTATGGGAGAAAATTGCAGAACCCTGACTTTCACTGCAGAACTGAGACCCGATTCACCATACAGTAAAAAAAAAAAAAAATGTGTCGACTCGTTCAAAGCCAGACACTTCAGTTTTTCAGGGTCTAGTTGCTCCGGCCTATTTGGAGATTCCTGGTTTTTACACAGTTTAACCTCTGTGGTGGCAACTGTTTCCAGAAAGGTTCATATTTGGCAACACGGCAATTCCCCAGCCTGGGATCAATAAAGTACATCTATCAATCCAACACATACATGGAGCGGTGGTTCTAAAGATAGGGGGCAAGCCCCGTAGAGGACAAGGAACAATTGGAGGGGGGACTGCAGCTGGATCGGGGGGGCGGGTCAGGAGCAGATAGATGGAGCGTTCGTGTGAACTAAGATAAAGGACATGTAAAAGTCATGCATAAAGGCTAAATGCTAAAAAAAAATCATTTTTTCCACCATCTATTGGGGAAACATGGGTATTGCAGGTAAAAGGCAGAAGTGTAATGATAATATAAATAAATTATTTGGAAAAGTTTATTGGGCCGGATTAAAAAGCTAAATGGGCCACATCTGGCCCCCCGGGCCTTAGTTTGCCCATGACGGAGCTACTGTAGACAGATGAACTAATATTTGTGCCACTGAGGAAAAGAATGCACTGTTTTTTCAACTGTATCTCCTTTGTTCAGTTCGAATTTCGCTGTACGTGTGTCGATCTGAAAGAACAGGACGAGGTCAGACTGACACGTCTTCTCCAGCTGCCAACGCTAACATTGTTATGCAGATCAGGAATGGAGGCCATTCCCACTCCAGCGTGTCTAACGTGTGTGAGAGCATCTCTCTTACATCAAACACCATGTAGGACACGTGTGTCCCAAATCTGACTGGCTGTGAGAGCTTTGTCTCTTTGGGTTGACCCTAATACATTTTCCTGCTCGGTGTCTGGTCTTAGCGGCGACATGAATTATTCAGGAAATGATTGTGGGGGGAGAAAAAAAGTGGAGGGAATGTTTGTTTTTTTTCCTTCGGTGGAATGATGTGAATATTGGAGCGGAGTCTACGGCAGCTCTGGGTCGTCGGTGCTTTTATCTCCTCCCCGTGGGTCACGGTGGTCTTCAAGTGTGTAGTCCTCACAGACGTAACCGCACACACCCTGTCCACACAGACATGTACAAGCAGGAACACACACGCACACATTCTCTCTCTCTCTCTCACAGGGAGGGTGAGCGAGAGAGAGAGAGGGAGAGAATTAACAAGCCCTCCTGCCATCTGCCATCCCTGACCCTGCCGCCGCTTGGATAATGCCTCTGAGTGAACAGCAGCACGGCGGTGTGTGAACGCCTCCTCATGTCACACACCATAACATGTAAAGGACGGCGAGGAGAAAAGATGAGCCAGAGGTAAAAGTATCCCAGGTGATGATGGGGCGTGGAGGAGCGCCTCTGTCTTAATGAGTCACAGGAAACCACACACACTGACACACACACTGACACACACACTGACACACTCATAAGGTGTGTTTCAAAGCAGGAAATCCATGCAAGTAACTTTAAGTAAACCCAAAATAGTTCCTGTTCTAGAAATAATGTCACACGGGAGTCAGTGAGCTGTTGGTTCGTAGCCTGAAGAGCACGTTGTCCTGACTGGTCGAGGAACTGGTCTGGTCAGCGGAGGAAGAAAAATGCAGCAATTTTGGTGTGTTTATGATGACTGGTCATAAATGGAATTTTTTTTTTTTTTTTTTGCACAATAGAGAAGTGTCAGAATCAAGTTTGGTGTGTCCGTCATCAGGGCTCTGTACTGCAGTAATCTGTACAGGTGCAGTAATACTTTGAGCGTAATCCGTTCCAGGACCGAGCTGGTAACTCAAGGACCGGTAATACCACACCATCATTGAAGATTCAAAATAAAACCTCTTTTAGACTTTTTTTTCTGTCAGTATCAGAGTCTGAATGACCTTTGACCTGTTGTTTTGAAACATTGACTGATTATCTTTGAATGAAAACAGTAAAGGGACATGACTGGATTCTTTTAGAATGAAGTAAATTAGTAAAACTGAAGTACATTTTTTCTTACTGTGTCCCACTGCAACCCGGTACCAAATAACCTACGGACCGGTACCGGCCCCCGCACCGGGGGTTGGGAACTCCTTCTTTAAATAACACAGTTTAAATTCAAGGAAATATTTCTTTGGGTGGCGAAGAGACGCAGTAATCAGGAAGTTGAGAAAAAAAAAATGAAAAAAAAAATTCCAAGAAAACTACTCCAAGAGTCTCTGTTTACAGCTACAGTAAAATAAATGTCAAATAATGTGGCTGTAAACTTCTGTAAATAAATAAATAAACTCAAAGGTCCTTCAGCTAATGCGCTAGTTCACTGCTGGTAGACATTTAGAGCGCGCGGTTTCCTCGTCTGTTTTTTTTTTTTTTTTGCTTCAGAATTGGGTCACTTCCTTCGTACTGCTCCAGGATACCGTTGGTCTGCTCCTGTTGGGTGGACGTCTATAAATAAACCTCCATGTTTGTAACAACATGGTCTGTTCAACGATCTTCCACCACTGGATCCTGTTAAAGACGGCGGTGGGAGCTGGAGCCGGTCCATCACATGACCACAGTATCTGCCATGTCAATGTACTCGAACTGATGGTGGAAAACCAAAGTACCCACGAGGTATTTGTAGTATTTTGTTGCCTGAACGGAAACAAAAAAACTCAAGTCAGCTGAACTCCTGGTTCTTCCGTTTCTGTTTTGGGAACCACCAGACTTCACTGTCTGATGAGAAAATAACAAATAAAAAAAAATAAAATCAATAAAAACTGGTTCTCAGTGGGGTTTTTTTTAACAACAAATACATGTATAACACTATCATAGAGGGAGGAGGCAGTGAAGAGGGGGAGTGATAAAGAGAGAGAGGGAGGGAGAGAGGGAGTGTGTGTTTGTGACTGGTGACTGTGTGTGTGTGTACGAGAGAGAGAGAGAAAGAGAGAGAGAGAGAGAGAATGGAAGGAGCTGCATGGGGCCGTCACATTCTCTCCTGCTGGATGCTGTCTTTCTTTCCTCTTCGTGGCTTTGTCCCTCCTCCTCCTCCTCCTCCTTCTTCGCCTCTTCTTCCTCCTCCTCCTCCTCCTGCTGCTGCTGCTGCTGCTGCTGCTCATTCACCTCAATCACCTCCTCTGTCCGGACGCACTGAGTGGCCGGCAGCAGGCGGCGGTGCTCGGCCACGGAACCGAGGATGATCCGGCCTCGACAAAGAGGCTTCAGATGATGGCAGCGTGCGCTCCTGCTCGTGCCTGGAGGGAGGAACGCGTCAGGCTTTCCCAGGCAAGCGGCAGCCTGCAGTGTGCCCTCCTCCTCCTCCTCTCGTCCTCTCCTCTTCCTCCTCCACACCGTCGTGTGTGTGACAGAGAGGGAAGCGTGTAGTGAGTGAGTGGATGTGTGTGAGTGTTGTATAAGAGAGAGTGTGTGTGTGTGTGTGAGTGAGTGTGTGTGTGTGTGTGTGAGTGTATTTACGCACTCCGGTCGTTTCCAGTTCTTCACGGAGGAGAGAGGCTCTCCTCTTCACCGGTCGCCAAGGTAAGAGGAGACACTATTTACCTCCCTCCCCCTCGTCCCCCCCTCGTTTGTATCTTAAGAAAAGCGAATCCTGATGAGAAAGAATCTTGAATTGTATTTTTTTTTTTTTTTACCTCTGTGAGGACCTGGTGGCGGAAAAGGCTTAACGTCATTGATAAACAGCGGGCTGTAGTGTGTGTAGCGACGGCGGGCATCAGCTGTGGTGGAGGAGGAGGAAGAGGAGGAGGAGGAGGACGAAGGAGGAGAAAGACTGAGAGCAGAATGCAGTGCAGCCTGGTGGTGCTGTGTGTGTGTTGGGGGGGGGGGGGGGGGGGGGGGTGTGAGGGGGTGAGTTTAACTAATGTTGTCATTAAACATTATTTGCTTCAAAGGAAGAATAACTTTTTGATTTGACGACAAATACTAGGACGCTTCACGTTATCACCTCCTGTCCTCAAACCCCACGTCCACTGTCTGTCCCCTCCGTCCTCTCACTGAGGCGTTCAGAGACAGCTGGGACTGTCTCTCTCTCTCTCTCTCCCTCTCTCTCTCTCTCTCAAAATGGTTCACGTTGTACAGACCGACTGTCTCACCCCCGTGGTCGTAGCAGGTGTTTTCTTTTTCTCTGCTCCTGTGATTGTTCTTTCCTGGGCTGTGAGGACGAGTTGACGTCGGCAGGACATCAACGTCAACTCTCCGGGCTTAAAATCAGGGTCACGGCCGGGATTAAGCCGTCAGTTGGGTTAGGCTAGGGCCGGTGGACGTCCCTATCCTCCGACAAAGTGTGTACCGAGTTCTCCTGCGATCGTCCTGGTTCAACTTGTGTGTCGGCGTTCAAAGTGTTGTTCAGGAGACGGATGGTCCAATGAGAGGAGACGGGTGTGACATGTTCACTGTCCTCAGTAAAACTGTACCGTCTCATACAGTCAGTTTGTCTCAGTGTGTGAGGTTTGAATGATCAAAGGTCACATGAGGCAACTGGACCTAGAAATGCTTGAACTGCTAACATTTTAGATACAGTGCTAACAAAGGGCTTTACTGTTGACTCAGCCATAAATGAATCCACTCAGAGAAACTTGACAGTCAGGGGGAATTTAATCGAACGGATTTGTGTATTTCTTTTGTGGTGACTTCAAAGTTAGCATCTGTTTCGCGCCCCCTCTTTCAGGGACAGTATTGTATGGTGATCACTTTAGCTACAGTACAAGGAGACGAGGTTCTGTGTCTCTAATTACTTCTTAGTACTGCATTAAATGGTGATACTTTGTGTGACTAGAGAAAAGAGATGCATTTTGTTTTGTCCCAATCTGATTTTTGGTAAGTGTGACTTGCCAAAACCGATTTCTGTCCATTCTGATTTCCTTCAATTTATGGCATATACAAAAAGAAAAAACATTTTTTTATTCTTTGACTAGCGATGTCCAATAGCTAATAGCAAATATCCGATATTGCCCAAACACTTAATTTCCGATTCCGATAAATACAAACATTTGCAGAGTACCACGGTAATGTGACAGTAATGACAATAAGTTACTTTCACTTTCACTTTAAAACTACTTTTAGGTCACATCATCTGGGCGAAACCCAGTCGTTGCGTTATCGGGTTTTCATTATCGGAGAAAAGACAGATAAAAGTTCTGACCTAATATATATGACATAATTATGGACATTCCTACTTATGGCTGTAATAATGAAACATTTCCCACAATCTGACCTCAACCACAGGTTCTCTTCAGGTCAACAAAACACTGTTCTCGGTGACTGAATGAGGAAATAAATGAAAATGGTTTAATAACAAGCCTCCGGTCACTAGGTGGCAGCAACTCATACAGTGGTTTGTACAGATGAAAATGTACATGTTATCACGTTCTCAATAGTATTTCAATTCACAGGGGTGTGGGTCTGGGGGGGCAGGAGGGAGGGCCAGGGCTGAACACATTTCTGTCCTTAGGGGGCGCCATGACAGAAACTAATTGAGAACCACCGATTTAGACAAAGAAAACTTGTCAGCTATGGTGTCGGCTGCTGCCCCCTGTCTGGGTTTTCTTCTGTTGGTTTCACAGGTTTTAGGATGACGTAATGAAGGAGCTGAAATGACCGGGTATTTGTTTGTATCTCATTGAAATTCATAGAAGATAAGGAGG